GGGGATGGGAAGGCTGGCCAAGGAGGAACAGAGCTGGCGGTTTTAGACATGGTTGGTGGCATCACAGGGGCTCTCCCTTCTGGTAGAAGTTGGAGAGGGCTCTGGCCTAGCAGGGTCATACTCACAGACAGCCTGATACAACCCCCCTGGCTAGCCTAAGTGGTCTGCTCAGGGCCGGGTGGTCAGCTGGATCAGAAGCTCTCAGTGTGCTGTCCATTTTCCTGTCCGCTGCAGTGGGGGAACAGATGCCAGGCGAGGAGCACAAAGGCCATTACCTTCAGCTCTTTCCAATCCAGCCCAAGGCCTGGGCCCACAGCAGGGGGACTCAGAACCCAGAGGGCACACAGTCTCCACTTCGGAAACTGGGTACAGCATAAGAGTGACTCCAACTTGTAAAACAGACAATTGCATTGACAAAACTGCCCCTGAGTGGGGCAGTTCCACATCTCAGGCTCCTGCTTGGGAAGGCAGGGTCACAGGGCAGGTAGGACAGGTCCTCCTTCCCCGAATAAGGCAGCATAACATTGCTTCATTCATCTTTGGTAAGGAAGGGACTGGCAAAGCTGACCTGGGGCTCCAGCGGGAGTGCAGCCCAGGCCTCTGCCTTCCACTGGCTGCAGGACGCTGGGCTTTACCTCAGGCGTGGGTGGGCTCAGCCAGCCCAGAGATGCCCTGGTGATCTCCAGACATGGGGAGGAGAAACAAAATAACACTCTGAATGAAAGTAACACTATTCGGACCCCGTGTCCATCTTGTGCCCCAGACCTTCTGGGCTCTGAAGCTGATTGCAGTGTCAGGACACAGCCCCAAGGGTGGAGACCATGGCACCTTGCACACTGTTCCTAGCCCCTTACCCTCCATGCTGAGCTTACGAGGTTGGAACTCTCAGGTCTGGCAGGCTGGGGGCTTCCAGTCCTTGAGGCTGCAGCCACCCCACCCTGGCTCTGAGCCCCAGTGGCAGAAGGGGCACAGACAAATGCCGGCTGGGCTGTAGTTCCATGGTTCACAGCCTTGCCTGGGAGAAGCAGCAACTTTGCTGAGTCCCATAGCAGCCCCTTGCCCTGTAGCAGGGGCAGCTGGCAGCAGCGTGGCCTTGAGAGCTCAGTACACAAGCTGTGCAAAGTGGTGTGTGAGCAGCTCCTCGGCCGAAGGTCTCTGTCGGGCCTCCACAAAAATGCGCCTCAGGAAGTCCCGACCGTGCTCAGAGATGTGGGAGGGCAGCTGAGGATTGGTGGGCTGCGTGGCAATCTTGAAAATGGCGGCCATGGCTTCATACTCTGCCCAAGGTGGTTTCTCTGTCAGCATTTCTACCACAGTGCAGCCCAGGCTCCTGAAGAGAGAGAACCCCATGTCACCTCTTGGCCATCCTAGGTACCCAGCTGCCCTGCCACTATTGTGAAAGGAGGTGGTTTTCTCAAAATACACTGAGGCAGGATGGGCCAAGGTGAGGGTCAACACCCTATAGAGCAGCGGTCGCCAACCTTTCGGACCTCAAAGACCACCAGTGGTCCGCAGACCGCCGGTTGGTGACCGCTGCCCCAAAGGTTTCCTTAAACCAGTGGTTGCCAACCTTTCAGACCTCACGGACCACCAGTGGTCCGCAGACCACCGGTTGGTGACCGCGCTAAAGAGGGTCCCCAAGGCTAGAAGAGGATTCAAAAAACTATCAGCCTTATCCACACAGCTTCATCAACCTATACCCACCTGGATACTTTTTGAGATTGGGGAAGAGAACCACTTAGTATGGACAGAAAGAGCTCCAAGATAACTATATTAGTTTCCTATTGCTGCTGTCACAAATGTGCCTGCTGTACAAATGAGCCTAACGACATAAAAAACAATACAAACTTATTATAGTTCTGGAGGTCAGAAGTCTAAAATTAGTCTCATTGGGCTAAAGTCAAAGTCTCAGTGGAAATGGCTCCTTCTGGAAGCTCTGAGGGGAGAATTTCCTTGCTTCTTCCAGCTTCTAGAGGCTGCCTGCATTCCTTGGCTTGTGGCCCCTTTCTTGCACCACTTCAACCTCTTGCTTACACTGTCACACCTACTACCCACTCTGATCTCCTACCTCCCTTTTATAAGGACCCTGTTGATTATGCTGGCCCACCTGGATAATCTGGGATGCTCTCCCCATCTCAATATTCTTAAATTAATCACATCTGCAAAGGCTCTTCTGCCATATAAGGTAACATTAACAAGTCAAAGGAGTTAGCACATGGACATCTTCAGGGGATCATCATTCAGCCCACCACAAAAATGTTCCAAGGGGAAGAGCCTTCTAGACCCTTTCAGAGGATGGACATGAAGTTAAGGGGAGTAACTGTAAGCTGAGTAGTAGGAAAGGGAGCAGAAGCCTGCTAGTGTTTAGAGGCTGATCCAGGCCCTCAGAATGGATTCAACCTCTTTATTTTAGCAAATGTCAGAGATGTTTCCCACACCATAAGTTCCCAGCAATAACATTTGTTATTCAGAGTTAAAACATACTGCCACCTCTGTATCCTGATCTAGTTGGCAAGAGGTGGACACTCCTTCCCTCCCACCACACCAGAGCCCAAAGCTCATTTGTAAGTTGGGGCCACAAGAGCCCAGACAGGGAGGTGGGGTCCCAGCATGTTCGTAGTGCTCACCACACATCTGCTTTCCTTCCGTAGCCTTCGCCGCTGATCACCTCAGGGCTCATCCAGTAGGGTGTGCCGGTGACCGAGCGCATACCCGGGCCGGACATGCAGATGGTCTGCAGGCGCTTGCTGGCCCCAAAATCCCCCAGCTTCACATTCCCGGCAGAGTCTCGGAGGATGTTGGCTCCTAAGGCATGAAAGGGCAGAGCCTGCAACCCTGAACCCTCAGGCCTTTTTCCTCCCTCCCAGGTCACAGGGCTGCTGGGCAGGATGGGGCTACCATGAATTAGATGTGAACTGCACAGGGCAAACAAGCCTCAGCCCTACAGCCCAAAATGATCACTGCCATGGCCAACATTGCTGAGCACTTTATCTGCAATATTTGTCCAAATTGCTCAACTGATCTTCACACCAATGCCCCAAGAAAGCAATTAGAGTCCTACTTTTCAGAAAGTTCGAAATGGTTAAGCGACCAGGTCTTGGGGATCCTACTCACCCTTGATGTCCCGGTGAACGATCATGTTACTGTGCAGGTAAGACATGCCCTCCAGGATCTGCCGGGTGTATTTTCGGGTCACACTCTCTGTCAGGGCTCCATAGGCCTTCAACTGGTCTTTCACTGAGCCCTACAGCCACAGAAGTCAGAGGGAGTCACTGCAGGAAGGTGGCAGGAGGGGGGCAAGGCTATTTCTAGCCCCCAGCACTGCAGCCAAGAAGTGATTCATCCAATCCCCACTTGCAATGTACCAGACGCTTTGCTAGGGACTGCTGGGCAGCTTGGAGAAAAGTCTGAGACAGCCCTTCCCTCAAGCAATGTACGACTCAAATCCAGAAGGGGGATCCCACTGCTCCAGGTAAAGGCAGTACTTAATGGACAGTGCAGCCATCCTGGAAGCCTCAGGTGAGGGTGGCTTGGGAGCATTTCTCACCCCACACCATCACTGCGACCACAGGCAGGCCCTTCTCGACTACACATCCTGCTATCACCTCACCTTGTCCTATGAGCCTCTGGAGTTTCAGGGGATCAGACCCATGTCAAAGGGATCCTTTCTGCAGCCCCAAACCCCAGGTCAGGTCCTCTCTTGTGTGTGTCTTACACACATCAAGGGGCACATACCCCCGGCATATACTCCATGAAGATAGTCAGAGTCTTCTCAGCGCGGTCCCGCAGACAGCCATAGTACTGCACAATGCGCTCGTGCTGCAAGTTTTTCAGCAACTGGATCTCACACTCCAGAGCACTCACCTCCTAGGGGAGAGGCCAGTATTCAACTCAGCTCTCAGGGCCCTGGTCTGCCTGCCTGGGATCAGCTCAGCTTGCCCTAGTCAGTGTCCTCAGAGGGGTCTATCTGCCTTGGGAACTTCAGCTGGAGAAACGGGGGACTCTCTCAGCTGTCTGGCTGTTGGCCTCAATGCAGGGCAACCCTTTGAATGCTGGTACTCCAACACAGGCAATAGGAAAATAGTGGGGTGGGAGGAGTTGTGGGTGCTTGGTAACTGCTGTACTTCAGGTAACTGATGTATTTATCCACTCAGGCTGGAGTGTAGGCCACACCCAAAGGTGAACTACAAAGACAGGCTCCTTCCTGGGCTGAAAGAGACATCATGTGGTAAGGCATGTGCTACTCTTTGTGGCACTCTCACTTTGGGTTGCTTAGTACTTTGGCATCAACTCAGTTCCTCATATCGAATCCTTCCTTGGGGTGCTGGCACTTTGGACCACAGTCCCTTCACTCCATGGCCAGGCCCACAGTGGACAGCAAGGGAACGTGGGAGGAAGAATAATGGAGGAAACAACCTGTAGCTTTTAAGCAATTAGCCTGTGCAACAAAGACAGGTATTTGGTTGAGGGGAAGACAGTACCTTGCTTGTCTCAGGACTGTCTGGATCAAACTGGACCTGCTTGGAAGCAAGTTCACGTCCTGTATCCACGTCATAACACAAATAGACCCTGCCGAAGGCACCCTGGCCCAGGAGCTTCCCCCGGCGCCAATTGATGGGGGCACTAGGAGCTACAGAACAGAAGGAAAGAGCTTTAGTCTGTGCACATTATTTATTGATATCCTCCCTGATTCCCGAGAGGCTCTATATGGGACCTTTGGCTGGAGCTCCCCCATCACCTGGCACTATTGCAACTGACTGCATCATCTCCACCCCTACCTGCAGCAGGCCCAGTGCCCTGGCCAATCAGACCTTCAGGCCTGAGTCCCAGGAAGCAGAGGACTGACTGAGTCATGATTAAATGCTTTTCTGCATCGATCAAACACCCCTATTTCCAAAGCCCCTAAATATCTTAATATGGCAGGGAATAAGGAGACTGCTTTTCAGTTTAAACTAAAGACCAACGAGGGGAAGTGGCCTGTCACACAAAGGTGGAGTAAGGATTAAGGTGAAGTGGGTCTGCTGTCCCCCTGCAGGCTCTTCCAGTTTGGAGAGGATGGGCCAAAGCAACATACTGCTGAGCCAGACAACCCAGTACACTCACTGGCTTCCCAACCTGCAGTTCATCTGAGCATCCCCTGGGCAATTTCCTTCTAGCCAGGGTCCACTCCTTACACTTGGTTGGCACATTCCTCTCCTGCACAGAGAGGGCATTCTCGCTGTCCGCACTCCGCAGGCGCCCACGGGGGTCCATATATTGCACTGCCAGACCTATGTTCTCGCCGTTTGTGCTCAGGGAACGGCTGGAGGGCACCAGGGTGAACAGGTTACCTTGATGACGTCGTATTCGGGGAAATGTTCTTCTGCCTGAAGGGGTGCAGGGGCCAGAGTAGAGTAAGTCAGGCCTCTGGTCTTGAAGCTGAATGTGCAAACCAGGTCATAACACCAGCTATGGTCCATCCTACCTGCCTTCCTGCCTAACTCATGCCAGAATGGCTTATGTCCCACACACCTTAAGAATCAGGACAAAAGCAGGAATTAGGAAGCAGCCAGAGATGGTTAAGGAAGCTCTGGCCAAAGGGAAGACACAGGGCTGTTTCTTAGGCCCCACAGTACTCGCAGGCCAATCCATAGCTGAAGTCTATTTCCCTTGGCATCCTAATCCTAAATCTCAGCAGAAGCTTCATTCCATTTGCTGCCAAAGGGCAGAAGAGGGCAGTGGAGAGCTGGGGACCTGGAGCAGGCTGCACACTCAAACAAAGAACAAAGTTCCCAGTGACAATATCCTGAATCTACAAAAGCTGTCTCCCTCTTTTTTGTTTTTTCCCTGTCTCTAAAGCCTCAAGTCTGGACACAGCTCCTCAGAAATCAAGGAAACACAGGATCTGGAGTGCCCTGGCCCATCCCTTTGCAGTGGCTTTTCCACGGCAGAGCTGTAACCATGTCCTTTTTGAGGCAGCCAGCAGAGTGGAAATGAACTCACCATCATTGTAGTCCTTGTGGTGCACAGAAACATGATAGCGCCGGGGGTAGGTTCCACCTTTGACCCCTTTGTCATAGAGCTGAGTTTCCCGATCTGAGTAAGATAGAGGAATCACTGGCTTCTGGGTAGATAGTGGTGAGTAATCCATTTAAGCCCCTAGGTCACCTGAGACCTCAGATCAGTAGGTCCAAGGAAACTTAAAACACAGTTCTGGTTTCCCAACTCAGCTTTCCAAAGCAGAACGCAGGCAGCCCCACCCAGGCACCCCGCAGTGCTCACTGAGGCTCTGGGGAACTCACCCGAGAACTCCTGTCTGTTGTCTGGGAAGCTCTGGGCTCGGGACATTCGTGATTTCCGGAAGGATGGACTGGAAAAAAACAAAACAAAATCACGGAGTAGACTTTAGCATGCTTCCAAAGCAGCTCACTAGGGCAAAAGGCAGGATATCCAGACTCTAGACGGACTCCCTTTTCTAACTTCCTCACACGTCATTGTATGGTAAGAAGCAGAGTACACGAAAAACAGACCTTTTCTGGGCTCAGCCTCCTACCTTCTCTTTATTAGTCTGAGACCCAAATCTGATAGAACCCTTAATGATGAGCCCCTCCAGTCTTACCGAACTCCACTCTGGCTGCACAGCACTTTCCCTTCTTACCCTTTCCTCCCTCCCACCTTAGTAACAGGAGGAGTTGAAAAAAAACCAACCCTTGCCTAGGGCAGTAATAAAAATAGCAACACCACCAAGCATCTTCCTTTCAGACTCAACACCACTATCCCATTTTGGAGCTGAGGAAACTGAGGAACAGAGAGGTTAAGGGACTTATCCAAAGCTACTTGACTAATATTTGGTGGAGCTGGGATCCATCTGGCCCTAGATCCTATGAAGGGAAGATAGAAATCCTATGCTCAAGTTAGGTCAGGCATCAAACAAAGAAGTCCAGGTCATTGGGTTTCACTCCCAAGGAGAAGAAAAAACAAGAACAGGGAGGGATGGAGGAAAAATCCAAGAATCAAGTGAGTAAATTTAGCTGTCTTTCTGAGAATCCATCTGAATCGTCCTTTCCCTTACAACGACTAGACTCAGACCTTCTTTAGTCCTGTCCTGCTGCCCCATCCCTACATCCCAGTTTGGCCACAAAGCTTAGGAGATAGTCCAAAGCCAGAGCTGGTCTCTATCCTGGCAGAGCCCTCAGTTTGTAGTAGCAAACCTCAAACAAAGCTATAAATCAGATATCAAAAACTGTAAGTGTATGTATTCTATATCTAGAGGGAAGATAGCGCTCACCAGTGCTCAGATCTGTTAAGAAAGACATAGTACCAATTTGGCCATGGTCACAAGGTCAGTACCCACAGGAACAATTTAATCAGTGACACAAAGAAAAAAAAATTTACAAACCTGCCCCATAGCCTCTGACCACAGCTCTGAGCCCAGTCAGATGTGATCAAATGTTCTCTTGGTCACAACAAAGTCAAGGTGAGAGGCTGGCTGGATCAGTGCCAAAGCTAACTCCAAACAAACCCCTGCTGATGGACAAAACAGCTCCACAGAACCATTTGGCATGTAAAGGATAGCACTTGTCCCCTCCCAAAGTGCAAGAACAAGATTACACACCAACTAGGCAGTTATGTAAGCTAGGCAGTCTGGATATTTTATTTTTTATATCCTAGTTTATTATTCTACCAGAAACACTTAAAAAAAAAAAAGAACCCATAGATGATAATTCAATTTTGTCCCCAAAACATTGAAGGTCCACTGCTTCTCAGTCCAGATCACAAATGAGGCCAAGAGTACTAGAGCAGCATGTATTATGTAGAGACAATAAAGCAAGCATTTAATACATGTGAGCTGCTATTCTGAGCTATTATATTCATCTAATTATATAAACATAACATTCTCATGGTGTTTGGAAAATTAAGGAGGTTCTTTCCCAGAAGCACATTTTTACCATGGGCATGTAAGACCAGTGTCTAGATTGGAGACACAAATACTAGCTACCTCTATTTCCTCAGCCCATCAGTTCCTAGGTACTAACCCCAGCCTAGGTACTAACCCCACAACCCATACCTGTCTGCTGACCTGTCCAAGGATTGGCAGCTTCCCGACAAGGAATTTTCAGCACTGTCCAGGGGATCCAGCATCTGCAAGGCAAGTCATACAATAAAACCCCAGCCCTAGCTCAAATCACTGAATCCAGGTGAGTGGGGGCTTTAAGGCCTAGCCAGGGCTAGCAAATGATCCTTTCTGTCAAAATATGAAAGTAACCTTTCTCTGCCTGTGCAGTGAGAAGAATGATTAGGAAGGTACCATTCCCCCCCCAAAGTTTGAACGGCAAGTTCCAGGAGGGAGAAAAATGCCTGGCTGGCATCCCAAGGAGTTCTGCAAGGAAAGCAAAGCTGATGTTGCTTCTCTTGTTGGCATTTTCTTGGCTCATGACTGCTAGAGCCTGGCGCTGGAGATGGTACTACCCTGCAAAAGCTTCCAGTGCATTTGGGTGGGACCATAATGCTTCTGTTTACACTCCATAATCTATAATTTACAAAGACAAGTATTGCTCTCACTTCACAGGTCTAGAAAGTTGAGGAGAATGGTCTAAAGTTATGAAACCAGTTAGAAGGCAGCTAATATAGACAAAAAATTTCCCAGTTTCTGGTTCTCGTTTAGGAACAATAGGTAGCTATATAAGTTAAAATGTTTCTCTGGTCCTTAGTCAAATGCAGTAACAAAAAGCCATTAGATTAGCTTTGTCTCCAACTAATCTTCCCTTCATTTTGTCCATGGGGGAAGTGGTTATCTACTAGCAAGAGTATTTACTAGCTGGATCCAAAGTTAAACATGACATAGGAAAGCAGAACACTGGAATTATGAAAATTCACTAATAACTTTCATAAAATTAGTTTCCAACTCAAATGATCTCTTACCATTTAATACTATAGTCCATCTCACTCATAATTTCAAACACATTAGGTCATATTGTCATATATGACATATTTTTAAAGACTACCAATCAAAACAAATTAATGGCAAAGTAAAACTGCAAATCTTGCTAAGAATGTAGGATTTTTCCAAAGTGGATAAAACCAATATGGAAAGAACTGCTTGTAATTCATCAAATGCATATTTGGCACAGTAGGAGCAGTTAATAGAAGAAGAGAGAATGGGCAAGTATAACAACATGACAAATTATCAAGAAGGAGCAGGAATACCAAAGGTCCAAGAGAGGCCTTTGGAAAAGCCACTGAATCCTGTGAAGGTGTCTGTAAAATAGGACCCTCTTTATGACAGTGCTGCAGAAATCAAAGGGGAAGTGAGGAAAATTCTGTTGCGCTAGCAAAATTTTTGCTACAAAAATTAAGCACCTCCCCCCCCAAAATCAACATGAATCATGCTTCTTAGAATTTCATTGTAAAAATTAGCAAATAGATGCAACTAATACCTAAATCTGATTAAATCAAAAACAAAATGAACTTAACTTTGTTTCACTTTTTAAGAAAGTCTCAATTGAATATTCTTTCACTATACACTATGCTGTTTTGGTCTCTAAGTTCATTTATCTTGAACAGCTCAATTACCAGCAGCAATTCTCTTTAGCTAAAGAGGCGGGGCACTGGAGAATGACCTAGGCATTCCCTAGCCACCATCTCCCTTGGCCTCTTTCCAGAAGTCCCCACTGGGAGTCTAATACTCCTATGCCTTGGAGGACCAGCCAGGTAAAAGAAAGCAGTAAAAGGATGAGGGTACAGGACCATGGGGAGGGATACAGAACAAAAGCAACCAAACCTATTTGCAATCTCCAAGATTTTACACCTAAGTCACCCCTAGAGCGGCTGATGTTCAGATGTGTTCTGGTTAGAGAAAACAGGAAGGATGGTCAGTAAAATACCCAAGAAGAGAATATGCAGCTAAAAGCACTCCAGGTCACTGTTCTAAACATAAATTTATCTGAAGGCAGAAATATAGAAGAGAAAAGAAGCAGTGTAAAGAGCCTCTCATAGCTTACATAGTCCAAATAATGTTGTACAGAGATTAGCTATTAAAGGGAAAAGAAAAGTTTTAAGAATCAGTTTTAGGAGAAAGAAAAGTTACAAGTCGCAGTTTTTGTAAAATCCCCCATGTGATGTTGCTGGCCCTTTTGTTGGATGATTTACCCTTAAGAAATTTCCCCTTCCCAGACCAAAACCCCAAAATTTATGAGTGGATCTTTTTGTAATCAAAGCAAGGTCACTGAAGACTTCAGAATGAGGCCTAGCTGATGTGGTTCAGTGGTTGAGTGCTGAACTATGAACCAAGAGGTCACCAGTTCGATTCCTGGTCAGGGCACATGCCCAGGTTATGACTTGATCTCTAGTATGTTTCTCTCTCATCGATGTTTCTCTCTCTCTCTCTCTCTCTTCATTCCTCTCTTTCAAAAAACAAAACAAAACAAAACAAACAAACCATTAAAAAAAAAGACTTCAAAATGAAGCCAGAATTCTCACTCTTGTTGAGTTCACTAAACCAAAATGCCATTTTCATCAAGTGAGCCACTAGTTAAAACACTAGCCATTTTTTTAAATCAACATGCTGTGAGATTCATTCAAATTGTTGCATATATCAGCGTTCCTTTTTAAAAACCCCTGGCTAGCCCTAGCCGGTTTGGCTCAGTGAATAGAGCCTTGACCTGTGGACCAAAGGGTCCCGGGTTCGATCCCGGTCAAGGGCACATACCTTGGTTGCAGGCTCCTCAGGCTCTGGCCCTGGTTAGAGGCAACCAATCGATGTGTTTCTCTCACATCGTTATTTCTCTCTGTCTTTCCCTCTCTTCCACTCTCTCTAAAAATAATCAATGAAAAAATATCCTCGGGTAAGGATTAACAAAAAAATAAAATAAAATAAAATAAAATTTGAGAATCAGAAACATTCTCATTAAAAATAAATAAATAAAATAAAAACCTCTGTCTAATATTTTGTTGAATGACTATAATACAATTTGTTTATCCATTCTCTCTTTGATGAAAGGTTGCTTCAAGTTTTTGAGACTTAATGAATAAAGCTCTTATACTAGTAAATATCCATGTAGAAGTCTTGGAGAGAAAAAAAAGCTAGCCATTAAAATGGATTATCCCTTGTGGTGGACCCACCATAAAGTGGTCCTTCTTCCATGAATCACAGCCTTGTATAATCCCATCTCCCTGAGTCTGGTAGAACTTAGAACTTGCTTCTAGTCCAGCTGTGGGCAAACTATGGCCCGCGGGCCGGGTCCGGCCGTTTGAAATGAACAAAACTATTGAAAAAAAAGGACCATACCCTTTTATGTAATGATGTTTGCTTTGAATTTATATTAGTTCACACAAACACTCCATCCACGCTTTTGTTCTGGCCCTCTGGTCCAGTTTAAGAACCCATTGTGGCCCTCGAGTCAAAAAGTTTGCCCACCCCTGTTCTAGTCAATAGACTACGGCAAAGAGGATGGGATATTGGGATATTCATTTCTATGATTACGTTACATTTTGTAAGACTCCATCTTTGCCGACTGGAGCAAGAGATTCTTTCACTGGCCTTGCAGAAGCTGCCATATTGTGAGAGGGCACATGGCAAGGAACTGTAGGTAGCTTCTAGAAGCTTAGAGTGGCCACTGGCCAAAAGCCAGTAAGAACTATGATCAGAAGGAACTGAATTCTGCCAACTATGTGAGCTTGGGAACCCCAAACTACAGAAAGAAATGTAGCCTGGCAAACACTTGATTGCAACCTTGTGTGAGCCTGAGCATAGGACCCAGCTAAGTCATAACTGGATTCTTAACCCAAGGAAACTATAAAATACTAGAGGCCCGGTGCACAAAATTTGTGCACCCCGGGGGGGGGGGCGGGGTGGTCCCTCATCCCAGCCTGCGTCCTTGCACAGTCTAGGAGCCCTTGGGTGATGTCTGACTGATGGCTTAGTTCCTGCTCCCTGTGGGGAGTGGGCCTAAGCTGTCAGTCAGACATCCTTAGTGCTGCCGTGGAGGTGGGAGAGGATCCCGCCACCACCGCTGTGCTCGCCCACCGGGAGCTTGGCTTCTGGGAGCACACTGACTACCAGGAGGCAGCTCCTGTGTTGAGCATCTACCCACTGATGGTCAGTGCACATCAAAGCGACCAGTCATTCCGCCATTCGGTGATTTGCATATTAGCCTTCTATTATATAGGATATATATGTGCTGTTATAATCCACTAAGTTTGTAGCAATTTGTTATGTAATAATAGAAAATGAATATAGCTGCTTACCATCATAAAAGTTCAAGTAACTAATCCTACAGTGTAATCTGGATATGGCATACTTCCTACCTTTGAAAAAAATTGTTGTTGTTGTTAATCTTCATCTAAGGATATTTTTTCCATTGCTTTCCAGAGAGTGGAAGAGAGAAAGAGTGGGGAGGGGGGGGGAGGAAGAGGGAGAGAGAGGGAGAGAGGGAGAGGGAGAGAGAGAGATTCCATGCCCTTGACCTGGAATCAAACCCATGATCTTTCTTGTGAGCAGGCTTAGGCTCTAACTAAATAGCAACACTGGCCAGGGCTATAACCTACCTTTTATCAAAAAACAGCAAAACTAAAATACAGCTGATGAAAAACAAAATCTGTGTCTTAGATCTGGTCATATGTTAAACTGTGGAAATGACAGGTAGTTATAAGGAATATACAAATAGCAGAGTGTTATTTTGCAAGGACATCAGTGAGAGAACTATAGAAGAGAAGAACTTTATCAAATGCATATTCAGCACCCAAGAAGGCTAGGTAGTTTAGGTCCCATTTTTGGCACAAACTGGTATTTTGCCCCTAGAAAGGCATAATCCACATTTGGGCAGGACTGGTTTATAGAAGAGCTATTGGATGGGGCTCGAGTCCCTTAGTTCTGCACCATGCCCACTGAGAATGCCCCAATTTAACCTTGGTCTGACACACTCAAAGGCGCACCCCAGCCTGTACTCACACATTGCTCGTTGGTCTCTGGAATGAACTCCCCCTCACTGTTGATGCTGGTGTAGGACCCCTGCCGGGCAATGCGCTGCTGCCTTTCAGGCACATAGCCAGGGGGAGGTGAGCTTCGTCCAGGGTTCTGGGAGCCTAGATCACAGAAACAAGACCTTTGAGTACAGCCCGGGATGTACAGCCTGAGAGGAGCAGACATCCAGCCAGCTCAGACCAAGTCTCTTACAGATGCTGGTGGAGGGCTCGTTACAGCTCTTTGAACATCCTAGAAAAGAGTGCTAAAGCTCAAGTAAACTTCTTGAGCCAGATGGCTCCTCCCCCTAATCCAAAAACCCCAGAAAAGGAGGGAAAATACTTACAGAAAAGTCAAAGAGTGGTGGGGAGGGTTGCTTTTTGAAAGACAGTCTCTAAGGAGTTTAAACTATTATTTTCAATGTCCTTCAAGAAACACTTCTTCGTTCTTCCACATGAAACCAGTCATTAAGAATATATGGCTGATCCAGGTAGAGAAGATAATTTAATGAATTGGCCATCTAGAACACTTCCAATTTCTTGTTGGGGGCATCAACCCAGCCTCTTTAAGAACCATGACAGTTAGGTTTCTCAGGTGGAAGGCTAACCTGGGGCTCCCAGTAACCTAGTTTCTCACCTGTCTCCAACAGCACAGCCCAGACACAAAACTGCTCTGAAAACAGACAAAGATATTTGCTGGATTTCCAGTCTCAACAGCTCACTCACGGTAAGAAGCTACCAATTCTGAGGTACCTGAGCCATGGCTTCCAAATGATCTCAAATAACTCATGGAGGAAAGAGTCTGTTCAAACTTTCCAAGCCCTGACACCCTGAGCCTCTAAGCAAATACTGACACTACCCTGAGTATAAACTCATGGGTATTGTACCATGAACGAACAGAGCAATGAAATTAGCCAAGACATTTTTTCTTTTCTTTTTTTACACTGTTACCTCTTGTTTAACCCTCACAATACCCCTGCAGTGGAAGTGCATTATCATCCACACTCAACAGAAGGGGAAGCCCCAGCCCAGTCACAGAGTGATTTAATGGTGGGGCTGCAGCTAGAAGATAGACTTTGTGATTTCTAGTGCAGATCGACCAAGGCAATTCTGAGAACGTAATTTATTTCCAAAAGGTAGGCATGCTGCTCAATACAGCAGCCAAAGGCAACACTTCTCCCATGGGGACAATAAGCTCCCCAGGAACACTCCAAACAGAGGACAGGGATCTGCACCCATGGGGAAATGTGACAGCCTTTCTGCCAGGAGCTAATGTGGGGAAACATAGTGCCATGTTTCATGCAGCTCAAATTCAGAGCTGTTCTGTCCATGGTCACTTGTATGTCAAAGGCCAGGGGTGCAATATGCCATCTGGCCATCTTAAAGATGGAGGTAAGGGAAATCTGGACCAAAAATAAGAAATCTACTCCACTTTTCAGAAGCCCAAATGTCAAAGACCTACATAGCTGGTCCTTTCCCTTGGCACCATAGCACAGAATTCTAGTACAACCATGAAAAAAGGATGGTTTGTTTTTTTTATACCCCCAAACATGGAGCACTGTTTAATACTTGGCTTACAAACATTAGCCTAGTGCCCACTTCACACTTCTGGCTTTGGATAACATTTTAGTAGCCCATTCTATGGACAGTCAACCCATATGTTGGCAACATTTGTCAGCAGCAGAAGCAACCCAGAGCAAAGTATAGTGAGAAAAGCCTAAACTTGGAATCAGATGAACAGGGGTTCAAATCAGGCTTTGCCACTTAGCTAAATAATTCAAACTCTTGCCAAAATTTCCTCACTTGAAAAACTATCTACCTCATAAACTTTTTTTTCAAAGTTATAAATGTGGTGGACACGGGTAAATTGATATGGTAGGAACCCAGTAGAATTCCATTCGTTTCCTTCACACTCTGTGGCAGATATAATGTACTAGAGCAGTGGTCGGCAAACTCATTAGTTAACAGAGCCAAATATCAACAGTACAACAATTGAAATTTCTTTTGAGAGCCAAATTTTTAAAACTTAAACTATATAGGTAGGTTATTAACTTAATTAGGGTACTCCTAAGCTGGCCTTTGCTAAAAACGTCCTCAATCTGATTGAGGTACGTTCTTTGAGGTCGACCCCTTCCAACTCTCCTATCCACACTCGTCTTGTATACTAGTTTCATCTCTCTCCTTTCCGAAAACCGACTTCTGCGCGTGGGCCACGAAGTTTCAATCGCACTGTGCACGTGGTATTTTGTGGAAGAGCCACACTCAAGGGGCCAAAGAGCCTCATGTGGCTCGCGAGCTGCGGTTGCCGACCACTGTACTAGAGGCCCGGTGCACAAAATTTGTGCAGTGTGTGTGTGTGTGTGTGTGTGTGTCCCTCAGCTTGGCCTGCGCCCTCTCGCAACCCAGAAGCCCTTAGGGGATGTCCGACTGACGGCTTAGTCGGGAGCGGGCCTAAGCCATCAGTCAGACATCCTTAGTGCTGCTGCAGAGGCGCGGGAGAGGCTTCTGCCACCGGTGCTGTGCTCACAAGCTGTGAGTCTTGCTCAGGCTTCTGGCTGAGTGGCACACCCCTGTGGGAGCTCATTGACCACCAGGGGGAAGCTCTTGCGTTGAGCGTCTGCCCCCTGGTGGTCAGTGCACATCATAGCGACTGGTCGTTTGCTGTTCAGTCAATTTGCATATTAGTCTTTTATTATATAGGATATTATATACGATTAGGCTCAGGATCCACCCCACCCTTCTAGCAGGCCTTCCTGTGCTTCAAAAGTTAATCACCTAAAAGCTATTATTTCTAAGACCCCCTGTAGGTTCAGCCACTCAGATGTACTTGTGTGAGATTTAGATGGCTTCCTGCTGTTCTTGCTATTTTTGGGAACCACACACGGAAGCCTTGGTTTTACTGCCGCAGCATTATAAGAGGCCACACACTTGGTCTCCAGTTGTACAGGTGCAGGCATCCCCATGTAATTGGTGTGGACCAGAGAAGAGATGCACTGTACTTCTGGATCTGGTGGCTTCCTGATTATAGAAGAGGCAGGAGCTCTGTGGTTTGTCTGTTTCTCACTCTCCCAATGCTCTGATAAGTAAGAAGTGCACTAAATCTCTTCTTGCTAAAACTAGTTAGATTTCTGTTCTGTGCAACTGAATTCTAGCCAATAAAATCTGAAGTGTCCTAGAACAAAATGTCTATTGTAAGGGACTGATTAGAGAGAAAGAAAAACGCTTACTTACTGAGGAGAGCGCAGACATTGGTTCAAACTATCCCAGACAAGATGAACTGCCTTCAATCTATGACCTAGAGTGTCTAGGGTGAGACCTCCCTGGGATAAAATACCCATGGCCCCTGACACCCATTCTCTCCATCAGCTGCTAGTAAACTCTTTCCTGGTTTTACAGGTGGGATAGGACTAGCTTACATGAAGCCAGCACTACAGACCCAGGAGGGGTTGGGGGAAAATAGCAAAGGTTTTCTGAGCTTTTATTTCCAGCCAGAGACTTTCACTTTTTCCAATACACATTGCTGCCTGCAGAGAGCCAGCCTTGTTATCTGATGGGCAATGAGCCAGAGGCTATTGTGTACAGGCCACAGCTTGTGGCAGGAAAGGGAAGTCTCCCCAAACCAATGGCTATCAGAGGAAGCCAATGGAAAAACCAGGAGTTGGCAGAACTGCTCTAGAGCATTTTCAGTTTTGTTTTTATCTTCCATTTCAGAAACTGGGGGCCAATGAGATGTACAACAGGACTCAAGAACAAGTGAGACAGGGACTTGAACAGGACAGGATCCTGAACTAAGAGAACTCTAAGACTCATCGAAGCTCACACATTTACCAGCAGGGATAGCAGTGAGCCAAACAGTACAAATCATAGTGTTATGTGAGACACAGGTCATTCTAGGTCTCAGAAGGCAAGCACTGCAGGAATGGCAGGTTCTCTGAGACACCCTTCTCTGGCTCTAGTCTCATCAGGCCATTTGTACCAAGAGGTCCCATTCTAATACCAGCTAAGCAAAAGATCAGAGTAGTAGTCCTATGTTCAGAGTGCCCCACCATTTCCCATGAAGGAGGAAGCCAGGGGGTTAAGCTGCCAGCAGTCCGAATTCCTCCCAGGGCATACTAGCTCTCTGCTAGACTCCTTAACCCAGAACAGCAGAGTTGAAACAAAACTCTCATGGTAGAATATGCTGATTCTTTTGCTCTGTACTCTGACTCAACGCTGAAAGACGGGCTCTGATTCTAGCCCTTCTCATAGGAGCCTCCTGGCAGGAAGCTGATGCAGTCAGGAAGTTGCCTCCGGCAGGAGTACTAGGGCTTTGGGTCTGTTAATGTGCAGGTCATTGCAAGTACAAAGAGACAGCTTGTTTTGGACATCAACTATTTTCTCTAAACCCTATTTTCTGTTGGGGGGCTGATGAGATGGGGGAGGAATCAAATCATTTTTTTCTTCCTCAATGGAAAATCTTAAGCAGTATTTTCCAATATGCTCATAATGGACCAGGCCATCTTCATTCCATAAGACCATGAGAAGAGCCTATGTGTGTCAACTTTCAAAATTGGCGTTTTACTTTGAAGTTGCTACCACCATTAAACAGTTTTTGGTCTCATCTCGTATCACAGAAGAATTTATAATGAGGAGAAAAACCTATAGAAGTGAAAGAAGCTGACCATTTTGTTTCCCTGTGTATGGTCACTACCTGTGCAGTTAGGGTTTCCATTCTTCCAAATCTGTACTGGGATCGGAGGTTTGCACTGTGCGCAGCTCTCTAATTATTGTCTGGGTGTCAATACAAGTCACCCTATTCTTTCAACTCTCCTCTGCCTGAATTTTTTCTCCTCTCCTCACACAGGAAGAGGGCTCCCCTCTTCCTTGCCAAGGCATTATAAGCCCTCTAACTAGATTCCCAATTCCTCCCTAGCAGGAGTCAGCTCCTCCATGGTCCCCTTTCACCATCTTCAATCTTCTTTTCAGCTGTCTTTGTGCCTCCCTTCATAAATCTGCTCAAATCTCTAGCCTAAAAATATCCTGAGCTTATTTTTCCCACTCTCTTAAGCCACTGCCCTAACTTTTTAAAAAATATATGTTTATTGATTTCAGAGAGGGAGAGAGAGATAGAAACATCAATGATG